TACTGCTTCTCCGACTTTTCGCTAATATCAAGTGTAACCCTACACTAAGTAAAGAGTTCAACAAATAGAAGAGAAAAACACCATTCCTCAATGGTAGAGACAAGGGCTACAAACAATTATTGAATCTCAAAATGTCAGTTTCTCTCCTATACATGACATTTTTGATATTCTATATGGTATTTCTCTTTTTGTTACAAAAGACAGGATTTCATTTTTTTTTTTACAACAGAGTAGTATTCCATACTGTGTGTGTGTGTGTATGTGTGTATGCATATCACAATTTCTTTATCCAGTCATCAGCTGATGGACATCTGGGTTTATTCCATATCTTGGTTATCTTGATTGAGCTGCAATAAACATGGAGGTACAGACAACTCTTTCATATGCTGATTTCATTTCATTTGGGCAAATTCCCAGAAGTGGGATTACTGGCTCCTATAGTATATCTATTATCAGTTTTGTGAGGTATCTCTATACTTTTTTACACAATGGCTATACTAGTTTACATTCAAACCAACAGTGGATTATGGTACCTTTTTCCCAATATCCTCACCAGCATTTATTGTTTTTTGATTTCTGTGAGAGCTGTTCTAACTGGGGTGAGATGAAACCTCACTCTGCTTTTGATTTGTATTTCCCCAATGGCTAACAATCCTGAACATTTTTTTTTTTTATGTGCCTGTTGGCCATTTGAATTTCCTGTCTTGAAAAATGCCTCTTCAAGTCCTTTGTCCATTTCTTAACTGGATTGTTTGTTTTTTGTGTTGTTGAGTTTCATGAGTTCTTACAGAATCTGGATATTAATCCTTATCAGTTGCATAATTTGCAAATATTCTGTCAATTGTCTCTTCACTTTGCTGAGTGTTTACTTTGCAGTGTAGAAGCTTCTCAGCTTGATGCAATCATATTTATCTATTTTGACTTTGATTGCCTATACTTCTAGGGTCCTTTCCAAGAGATATTTGCTTATACCAATGTCTTGCAACATTTCCCCAATGGTTTTCTCTAGTAATTTGATGGCATAAGGTAATAGATTTATATCTATAATCCATTTTGAGTTGATTTTTGAGTAATGTGTAAAGTAGGGGTCTTGTTTCATGCTTCTGAGTGTGGAGATCTAATTTTCCCAGCATTATTTATTGAAGAGAATGTCCTTTCTTTAGGGATTGATTTTAGCTCCTTTGTCAAAGATTAATTGGTATAGATGCGTGGATTGATTTATGGAGTTTCTATTCTATTCCATTGGTGCACGTGTGTATTTTTGTGCCCTGTAGTATGCTTCAAAATCTGGTATTGTGATGCCTCTAGCTTTGTTTTTGTTGTTTAAGATTACTTTAGCTATTCGGAGTCTTTTGTGATTTCCATATGATGTTTAGCATTGTTTTTCTAGATTTTGGGAAGAATGCCACTGGTATTTTTATTGAGATCACACTGAATATATAAATTGATTTCAGTAATATGGACATCTTTATATTAATTCTTCCAACCCACAAGTATAGGAAATTTTTCCATTTTTTTGTGTCTTCTATATCTTTCTTTAATGTTTTGTGATTTTCATCATAGAGATCTTTTACCTCCTTGTTTAAATTTATTCCAAGATATTTTTTTGCAGCTATTGTGAATGTGACTGATATTAGAAGTTCTTTCTCAGCTATGGCATTCTGTATGCATACAAAGGCTGTTGGTTTTTGTGTATAAATTTTGTATCTTACAGATTTACAAAACTCTTTTATGAGTTCCAGTAGTCTCTTAGTGGAGTCTTTTGGTTCCCGTACACAGAGAATGTTGACATCTGCAAACAGGTTTAATTTGACTTCCTCCTTCCCAATTTGTATCCCTTTGATTTCTTTTTCTTGTCTTATGTCATTGGCTAAATCTTGCAAGACTATCTTGAAAAGTAATGGTGTGAGTGAGCATCCTTATCTGGTTCCAGATCTTAGTGAAAATGCTTCCTACTTTTCCCCATTCAAAATGATGCTGGCTGGTGCTTTTCATATATTGCTTTTGTTGTATTAAGGAATGTTCCTTCTATACCCAAGTTACTTAACATATCATGAAAGAATGTTGTATTTTATTAACTAGTTTCTCTGCATCTATTGTGATAATAATATGGAATTTATTATTCAAATTTTTAATGTTATGTATCACATTTATTGATTTGCATATGTTAAACCATCTCTGCATACCAAGAATAAATCCCATTTAGTTTGGATGAATGATCTTTCTTTTGCTATTGGATTCTTTTAGCTATTATTTTGTTTGTTGAGGATTTTTGTGTCTATGTTTATCAGAGATTATTGGTCTAAGTTCACTTTCTTGTGTCTTTTCCTGGATTTGGAATTAAGGTCATGCTGTTTTGTGCTGACCTCATAGAAGGAGTTTGGGTGGATTCCTTCCTTTCAATTGTTTTGGATAGCTTAAGAAGAAGTGGAATTAGTTCTTTAAATTTCTGGTAGACTTCAGCTGTGAAGCCACCCAGTCCTCCTGGGCTTTTCTTGTTGGGAGGGTCTTTATTACTGAATCAATCTCTGTCCTTGTTATTGGTCTGTTTAGGTATTCTATATTTTCATGACTCAGTTTTGGTAGATTGTATGTGTCTAGGAATCCTTCAATTTTTTCTAGGTTTTCCAATTTGTTGGCATATAGCTATTTTGTCATAATTCCATATATTCTATTTGTTTCTGGTGTATCCATTGTTACATCTCCCTTTTCATCTCTCATTTTATTATTGTTGGCCTGCTCTCTCTTTTTTTTGGTTAGTTATGATAATTGGTGTATCAATTTTGTTAATTTTTTCAAAAAATCAGCTCTTCATTTCACTGATCTTTGTATTTTTTGTTTCAATTTTGTCTATTTCTTCACTAATTTTAATTATTTTGTTCCTCCTACTAATTTTGGTTTTGGTTTGTTGATATTTTTCTAGGTCCTTGAGATGTCTTTGTAGGTCATTTCTTTGATGCCTTTCCAATTTCTTGATGTGGGCACTAATAGCTATAAACTTCCCTGTTAACACTGCTTTTGAACAGCCTGGATTTGAACTCAGGCACTTTGATGTTGGACGCTGGTGTTTTGATTGATAGGCTAAATTCCTGCTCCTCATGTAGGAATATAATCATCAAAGTCTGAAGTTAATGGTGCTAAGTGGCTGGAAATTGAATCCAATTATGGTGTTCAGAGGTGGAGTTACTGGGTACATGTACTCAGGAAGTAGTTCTCGTGAGAGGGTTCTTATAATAGCCGGAGTCTGAACTCAACTGCTCTCTCTGCTGACCTACCTTGCACTCATCCTTGGATGTGCTCTGTGATCATCGTTTACCATGCACTTCAGAGTTCAAACCCACAGTGTCACATGGTTTTGGATTTGAGCCTCCAGAATTGTAAGTTAAACAAGCTCCTTGTGACCTGTTGTACTAACAAAAAGGTGACTAATGCAGAGCAAAACTCACACATATATGGAACACCATTTCTATCCACATGATTGCACTGAGCGTTCAGGGCCCCTATCTGAAACATGTGTATGCTTTCCTTCTATCTTCTAAATTTTGTATCATTTCATTTGTGGCTCCCCTGAGACACTTCCTATTTACTATTCTGTGTGTAGTGTTTGGCTCATTTATTGATTCTCTTTTGGATCATACACTATACAACCCTGTCCATTTTACAGCTTCATATTTTCCCTAGTACTTAGCTCAGTTTTTCACACATTGTAAGGTGTTAAACAAACAGTTACAAATTAACAGATCACAAGAAAAAAGAAAAAAGAATAGTTCTGGGGCCAGTGCTCTGGCATAGTGGGTTAAGCCACTGCCTGCAGTGCTGGTATTCCATATAGGCACTGGTTCAAGTCCCAGCTGCTCCACCTCTGATCCAACTCTCTGCTAGGGCCTGGGAAAGCAGTGGAAGATGTCCCAAGTGGTTATCCCCCTGCACCCACGTGGGAGACCCGGAAGAAACTCCTGGTTCCTGGATTCAGATTGGCTCAGCTTCAGCCATTGGGGGCACTTGGGAAGTGAACCTGTGGATAGAAGATCTCTCTCTCTCTCTTTCTCTCTCTCTCATTCTTTAGCTTTGTATCTCAATAAATAAATAAATCTTAAAAAAGAATAGTTCCTGAAAGTTTATAATAGCTAATAAAAATGAGCAAATAATTTTCTTTACAGTTTTTTCTGTATAACTGCCTCTATATTTGGCACTTAAAATCATTTATTTGTGTCTTTATATTAAGAGGGCAAAATAAAACCTTACAAAAGCTAAGTAAATATTGGCCTAACATTACACAGTCAGACTCAGAACTTAACCAGAAGTCTGACTCCAGATCCTGTGAACTTTTATATCATGCCTTCCTATTATTTTTAATGGTTGATGTCATTTTAGCATGAAAACAGCACAATTATTACTCAGATAGCCATTATGCCGAAGTTACTAAAATTGCTGAATATTCTTGAGCCAAAGACCAAACACACACTCTGAAGTTGGCTAGAAGAGTGCAGTGCTGGTCTTGCAGTCCATGCTATTGTGGTTTGATTGATGTTATTTTCATTTTGAACATTTAAGACAGATTTAGATGTAGTGAAACAACAGCCTGTTTCTCTTTCCTGAGTATCATGGTACCTAGTAGAGGAAGCAAATTTTGTGGTGCAAGAGTTTTAATCAAAGGTATTGTCAGGGAATAGTCCGCGGAGGTATCGCTAGGAGGAGGTTTTTTACTTTCGGTTTTGACCGAGGGGCTTTCCTACGGGCAGGGCTCTCCGGAGGTGGAGGGATCGAGGTCGCGGTAAACAACAAGATGGCGGCAGGACCCCCGCAGTGAGTCTGCCTGCCTGCCTGCTGCGTGACACCTCACCTGATTGGCCGAACGACGCGTGCCTTTCACGTGAACAGAGACTGGATTGGTGTGCCCGATGCATGGACTCTAGCTTGCTCCTGATTGGTCGCATTTTGTATATAAGCCGTGGGTGTAAGGAGGAAGTTCTTTTTCTCTCCTCTCCTTTCCTCCTCCCTCTGTCACGTTTACTTTCTCTAATAAAAAGTCTACTGAAGACGGATAAACGTCATTCGTTCTTTTCTCGCCCAAGAAACCGTTGTCGCGGGCCCTGGGTTGAGTCTGCTGGCCAGACTCCCCGAGACGTTTGCGGCATCCTGGTATGTAGAGCTGGGTCTTTAGTTTGGTATTATAAAGTGAGAACAACATTAATATGACATAGCCACGTATCTTGTTCCTAGTGAGGAACTTCTTAAATTCCCCTTAACTGGAGCAAGGATGTTGGTTTCAGAGTCTGAGTGAAGATGTAGGATGAGATGGATATTGTGTGATGAAAGAACAAGCCCAGTGGAGCAAAAGGGACTAATGAGCCTGCACGTGTCATTTATAATAGAACACAGGTTGATTCTGTGGTATCTTAGAATATTAACTGCTAAGTGTTTATTTCTCATCTTATTTTGAGTAATACTATTGGTGGAATAATGATATCACTAATTCATTTGGCAGTTTCATCCATACTATTGAAATGTTTGTAAGTCTTTTCATCATTTTTTTAGTCTTTCCATATTTTTAGAAAATCTCTGGTTTTGAGTTATGGTAGCTATTCTAGCACTGTAAAAAAGGAACATCAGAGTATTTAATTAATGCACACTTTTAGAAATTTGACAGGGGCTAGCCTGAAATTTATCTTTGATAGATTTCCCTTAACTATAATTTACTAGGCTAATTAAATTGGGCACGATTGAAAGGAAAATGTTTAAATAACTTATGATATATGAAGATAAAAAATAAATCTTGAGGCCGGTGCCATGGCTCACTAGGCTAATCCTCCGCCTTGTGGCACCTGCACACCGGGTTCTAGTCCTGGTCGGGGCGCCAGATTCTGTCCCGGTTGCCCCTCTTCCATGCCCGCTCTCTGCTGTGGCCAGGGAGTGCAGTGGAGGATGGCCCAAGTCCTTGGGCCCTGCACCCCATGGGAGACCAGGATAAGCACCTAGCTCCTGCCATCGGATCAGTGTGGGGTGCTGGCCGCAGCGCGCCAGCCGGGGCAGCCATTGGAGGGTGAACCAACGGTAAAAAGGAAGACCTTTCTCTCTGTCTCTCTCCCTCTCTCACTGTCCACTCTGCCTGTCAAAAAAAAAAAAAACTTGAAGAAAATCATATATGTGAACATAACTTACAGTAAATAGGAAATACATGCCATACCATCCTAACACTATTTTATAAAAAAATATGGAGTGGATGTATTATTATTAGTCAAATATACTGGAATTGTGCAGGTACATAACATAATGAAAAAGTGGCCAATTCAATAAGAGGGCTTAACAGTTCTAAATATGTATTCATCTAGCATTAGCACTTCCAAACAGATGAAACAAAGTCTGTCAGAAACTGAAATGAGAAGCAAATCAATCCACAATTATATTTAGAAACTCAAATTCTCTTTTCTTAGTAATCAATAGATTTAATTAGGAAATCAGTGAAGATATCTCAGTCCTGGATAATATCATCAGAAAGTTGCACCTATTTGAGATTTATAGAACACTTCATCAAATAACAAGAGATTAAGTAATCTTTTGAAGTATACACAGAACATTCATTCAGATACAACATAATCTTAACAAATTAAAAAATTCAATGTCATACAAAATATTCTCTGATCATGATGAAATGAAAATAGAAACCAAGCATATACATATAAAGGAAACTCTCTAATTTATTGGATATTACACAAAATATATATAAATAATCCTGAAGCCAAAGAAGAAGTAGCAAAAAAATTAGAGAATATTTTTGATTGAACAAAAGTGAAAATATCAAAATTTACAATATGAAGCCAAGAGAGAAATGTATTATGCTTATAATATTATAAGAGCTTAGTCTCAAATAATCTAAGTTTTCTCCTTTAGAAACTATAAAAATAAGTGTAAAATAAAACCAAAGCAAGCAGAAAGAAGGAATTGATAAACATTAGAGCAGACATCGATGAAACTGAAAACAGAAAAACAGTACAAAAACTCAATGAAGCTAGAAGCCAGTTATGTGAAACAATAGTAAAATTGATAAATTTAGGCAACACTGACAAAGGAAAAAAGAAAGAAAACACAAAGGATCAATATTAGGAATGAAGAAAGGATTACCACTACTCTTCAAGGACATTAAAAAGATAAAAACTGAACAATGTGTGCCCCTAAATTTGAGAACTTCCATGAAATATATTTTTTAAATGACAAACTACCAAGACTTACTCAAGATGAAATAGATAAACTGAGTAGTCCTATAACTTGCATTTGTTATTAAAAATCCTCTGAGAAATAAATTTCCAGACTCAGATGTTTTCACTGGCAAATTCTACCAAATATTTCTTAGAATAAATGACATGAATTCTACACATTATTTTCTAACAAATGGAAAACAGAATGATTCCCAACCTACTTAGAGGCCAGTTTTACACTGATAACAAATCCAAAGACATTGCACAACAATACTGTTGGGTGGGTGTTTGACACAGCAGTTAAGGCATTGTTTAGTATGCCACATTCCATATCAGAGAGCTTAGGCTTGAGTCCTAGCTGTGCTTACAATTCTGACTTCCTGCTAAATTGCACACTGGGAGGCAGCAGGTGATGACCCAAGTACTTGGAGATGCATGTTAAACTTCTAGCTTCTGGCTCTGGTGTGACCCAACCCTGGCTATTAGAAGTACCTGGGGAGTAAACTAGTGAATGGAACTTCTCTCTCTCTCTCTTTCTCTCTCTCTCTCTCTCTCTCTCTCTCCCTCTTCCTCTCAGTTTCAAATAAAATATGAATAAATAAAATTTAAAAAAAATAAAAGTATAGAAATAGATCCATAAAACAATGATTAATTGATTTTGATAAATGTTCAAAAGGAATTCAATGGAGAAAGCACAGTCTTAAACAAAATAGTGTCAGGAAATTTGGATGTGTATGTGTAAAACAAGTAAACCTCTACCTGAACTTCACAATTTAACAAAAGTTAACGAAAAATGAGTAACAGATTTAATAGTGAAAGATAAAATTATAAATCTTTAAAGGAAATATAAGAAACTCTTTGTGTGCAGGGGGTAAACAAAGATTTTAAAGGTGGCATCAAAAGAACAATTTAGAATAGAAAAAATGGACAGATTGCATCTTATGAAAATTTAAAATTTCTGGTTATATTCACCTGAAAACGTGCACATAAATATTCATAGTTATTCTATTCATAATCACCAAAATCAAAACAAAACACATATGACCTCAGGAGGTGAATAAAATGTGGTTATATCCATACGGTGGGATATTACATAGTGATAAAAATGAACTTTGATTCATGAAGTTTCTTAGGTGAATTTCAAAGTCATGCTCAGTGAAAGAAGCAATCTCAAAAGCTATACTCTCTGAGTCCATTTATGTTATTTCCTGGAAAAGACTCAACTATGGTGATGAAGAACTGATCAGAGAATTTCAGTAGTTTGGGGTAAGGGAAGGATGTGACTAAATCAAGATAGCACATGGATATTTTGGAGATGTTGGAACTATTCATTTATCCTAAACGTGGGGGTGGCTACAAAAATTTATACAATCTTAAAAATTCATGGGAGGGTATACTAAGGGAAAAAGTCAATTTTATCAAATTCTATCACTTCTTGGCCTTTTGGCTACGATCAAGTGTAGTATCAAATTCTGCCACTTTAAAAAAATAAAATAAATACACAATAGGGCAAGGAGACTTTAATTCATTTGTGTGTATGGCTTTTCCACCTTACAGTCTTGGGTTATAATAGGCAAAAAAGTGGTAGGGGCCGATTTGACTTCATAAACTTGATAATTTCAAGGCTGGAATTTTGGTGCAGCAGGTTAAGCCATTGCTTGCGATGCCAACATCCCGTATCAGAGTGCCAGTTTAAGTTCTGGCTGCTCAGCCTTTGATTCAGCTTCCTGCTGCTGTGCCTGAGAAGGCAGCAGAGGATGGCCCAAGAACTTGACCCAGACCTGGTTTTGCAACCATTTTGGGAGTAAACCAGTAGATATTGTTGTCTCTGTCTCTCCCTTTCCCTTATGTGCTCTGCCTTTCAGAAAAAGAAACAAACACATAAATATTTGAAAAGAAAATTATTAATCCCTGGAGGCCAAAAAATAACATAAGCAATATTAAAAGATGTGACATTCTAGGAAAAAATATTTACAACAAACTTAAGTTGAGATAATTTAAGGAGGGCTTATGTAAGTGGCCTTCAAGTCCGGTGCTCTCAGAATTTTCTAGAAGGCACTTATAAACATTGCCACTCTTCCCACCTGTGTGTAGGTCATTTTATATGTAGTGACCAAATATTCTCAGGCCAGTATGTATTGATCTGAAAAAACATGATGCTTTTGAGATGCCACACTTCCCAAGATTCACTTTAGAACTGAGATCAAGCTTTAATGAGGAAAGAAGGTATATTAAGTTCTTTTAACATGATTTATTTAGTGGCTGGCCTTGTGGGTAAAGCCACCACCTCTGACATTGGCATTCCATATGGACACTGGTACAAGTTTCAGATGTTCCACTTCTGATCCAGCTCCCTGCTCAAGGCTTGGGGAAAGCAGTGGAGGATAGCCCAAGTGTGGGTCCCTGAAACTCACATGAGAGACTCAAGCTCCTGGCTCCTGTTTTTTGCATGGCCCAGCCCTGGCTTTTGCAGCCATTTGGGGAGTGAACCACTAGATATAAGATCTTGTTGAGGTGGATTCGTTCTGAAAGGAGGAGCATGGTGGGGGCAAGAGGCATAGTCACCACACAGACCCCGGGAGCCGGGTGAAAGCAGGCCAGAGGTGAGCAGCCTGCAGACTCGTTTATTTCAGATGGTACAGCAGGTTTTTTTTTTAACTTTTATTTAATAAATATAAATTTCCAAAATACAGCTTATGGATTACAATGGCCTTTTCCCCCCATAACTTCCCTCCAACCTGCAACCCTCCCATCTCCCACTCCCTCTCCCATTCCATTCACATCAAGATTCATTTTCAACTATCTTTATATACAGAAGATCAATTTAGAATATATTAAGTAAAGATTTCAACAGTTTGCACCCACACCAAAAAACAAAGTGTAAAATACTATTTGAGTACTAGTTATAGCATTAATTCACATTGGACAACACACTAAGGACAGAGA